GACGCAGCCCATGAATTTGGACACGACCGTTGTAACTCATGTTGTAAAGAAATAGAAATGGAAGCAGCACTGCTGTCTCTTCTTCCTATAAAACAACAGACGTGTTGCATTTCTTAATTTAAACTGCTAGCATGCTAAGTAGTGCCATAGCTAATGAGGCTTTTATTTTCACTTTCTTCATTACAGTAAAATAATTGCATGTGGGTTAAATACTTCATTAGATCATTTAAACATGAGCAAAATGACCACAGTTGTTTGTTTGCAGATGGCTGGTGCTTGGAAGCGTTTACTTTAGCCCAAGGCCGGATGCTGGAGGAGCTGACGAATGTCTTAATCATGTTGGTGGTAGGGAAGGTGAGTATGAGCTGCTAACATAACAACAGCAATAATATATTATCTACTAAGTGTTTGTATGTTTTTATCGTGTAAAAAAGCGTTATTGTAATAGCTGAGTTCGTTTTGGTCACCTGTAAAATCTATTCAGTGTTCACTAAGCTGTAGCTCAAATTTCCAGCTCCTGAGTGAAATACAATATATTTTTTGCAACTAAATGATGATTTATGTCACTGAGTGCATGAGTAAATCAGTGCGAGCTGCCACGCTCACATATAAAAGTTATGTGACCAGTTTTCAATGTAAAAATATAAATTACAGCAGATTTAAATGGTAACCAAAGTCATGCTTTAGGTCTGAGAACTGTGTGTGACAACAGGTTAGCCGATAACTGAAAGTCCTGTACAAACCTGGTAGGTGTGACTGCATGCAGATTTCAATTAACCTCGCCTCTGTCAGTGCGCCCAGCGCGGCGGTGGCTACAGTGTAGCTGCCGTCACCAGTGTGTGGATGTGTGTGTGGATGACTGAACATGTAAAGCGCTACACAAATACAGACCATTTACCTTTTTTTTTTGCTTTCCACAAAGCAGAAAGCTGGTGATGTTGATTCTTACTGAATCCCAAACATGTTTCAGTTTTTGACTTAAAACTCCTACATTGCATCCAAAGGTGGCTCACTACCAGCTGATGAAGTGCAATGCAGTCAGAGCTTTTGTCCAGAGGAAAGAGTACCTCACGTGGCCAGAGGACCCTCAGGATATGGAGTGGTTTTATGAACGTCTCATCTCAGATATACTAAAAGACAGCAAGGTGAAAAAGCTCAAAGAGGACAAGCCTGAGCCCGGGGGGCCTGAAGTTCAGCCGGAGAACATAAAAGAGACTTCCATGTGAACTGTGTTTCTGCTGCTGTTTAGGAAGCCTACTGAAAACTGGTAGCTTTGTAAAACGCAGCAACAGATTCAGCAGACCTCGTGATGCAAAGAGAAGTCCAAGAAGGCCTAAACAATGGTGCAGTTCTTGGATTTAGAGCAGGTGCATCTATACCAAACATAAAGCCCATGGCTGGAATCAGCCCGGCAAAGACTCCAAGCTGACCCACGTGATTGCTTTGCAATTTATTAAGGAAGGCATAGACTTTGACCTTTGACTTTTTCTCTACGTTTTACAACTTTTCCTGCTAATAAAAAGCCTTAAAGACTCAAAGTAATGGAAAAACTTTTACAGCTTGTACAAATAAATTTGTATTTCAGTGATTCCTGAGATTAGGGACAAATCGGGTTTTAATTTTCTAAAACATATTTTTTGATTTTTCAAATACATATTTACATATAATTGTTACACAAAGTTTTGGCTGTCTCACCATGTTTTGGTACAATCTCCCAGATATAACATATTTTTTAATAATTTATGTTTTTGCTGGAGAAGTGCAAGGTTTTAGTCAACATCGTCAGACACAAAGAAATGCAAAAATATATTTTAAATTAAGTTGTTTCAGCTATTTTGACTATTAGCAGCTTCTCTGTTCTACTGTTTATGCACATATGTTTTCAAACTAATTATACCACGTTTAAAAGTAAGATTGTTTTGGCTTTTTATTATTAGAGTTACAGTCATATTTAGCAGCAGGCAAATTACACATTTATTGAGAAAATTACGTATTTTTATTGGAAGATCATGAGGGAGGAAAATATGTGGTTCTCCAAAAGAGAAAAATAAACAAAAACTCCATATTATGGAGTTGACAAGGTGCTGGTGACACAAATCTAACGATGGTGACACTCTAATAGAAAACAAGATATTATTTCTTTCAAAATTACCATTAAAGTTTAACAACTTATGTAATATCACAAGACACTTCATAACAATTCTGTTTTTGCACA